ATTGGAAGAAAAATGTGTCGATACAATTTAAAAAAGTGTCGACATTTTACACATCGTAACCCATAATTATAATGTAATAGATAATTTTGTAATATAACCGGTATAAATATACCGGTCTTATGCGCGAATAGGTCTACAACCTATATCGACACTTTTTAATATTGTGTCGGTACTTTATGTCCATATTGGAAGAAAATGTGTCGATACGATTTAAAAAAGTGTCGACATTTTACACATCGGAACCCATAATTATAATGTAATAGATAATTTTGTAATATAACCGGTATAAATATACCGGTTTTATGAGCGAATAGGTCTACAACCTATATCGACACTTTATAATATTGTGTCGGTACTTTATGTCCATACCATTTAAAAAAGTGTCGGTAATTTGAAGTAACGCGGTTTTTCTTCCTTCATTCAAAATATTTATATGTACATACAATAGGAGTGATGTTGATACTTACGATATATTATATGGAGATCGTTGTCATTCCATTCCGTCTTCGAAAAAATCAGTTGATGTAGGCTGTGTGCTTGTACTCAAACTAAGCTTGACTTGAGGACATGTTAGTTTGTTATGCCCCTCACCGTTGCAGTACCCACATCGCCTAATTTACTTCTCGACCTTGTTCTTCGGCACTTCTTTTCGCTTGCGTTGTTTTCGTTGAGGGTCACGAACATTGTTTACTACAATGCTCTGGTTGACTGAATGATTCAAACCAAACGAGTTTTCTAATTCTTCTATTAGTTTTTTCATCTCATCTCTTGCGGTTTTGAAAGACTCGTCTGTCTTTGATGCAATGTAGCATAACCTACTTGACGTTGAACGTAGAGCAGCGAACCTTGCCATTTGCATCACTTCTGGAGACACATTCAAATCAACATAGCTGGGTGCAGAAGCCTTCGCATCATTAGTCCACCTACTTTGAATCAAAGTCCCGGGCAAATATGTGTAGTCCAATTGCTTCAAAATGTGAAGTTGATGGCGACACGGAAGTCCAACGGTCTCGAATTTTTTGCAGGAGCAAATTAGAGTTTTCGTACGAGAATCAAAACTAATTTCAAATTTCCTATTTTTTTCTGCGTACTTTGACAAAATATAATGTTGACATTCATCTGATAAGGACTTAATCTCTGCCTCAATCCGGTACAATGTCTCCCGTGTAAGTTCATCTTGGAACACACGAAAAGATTCGCGGGTAAAAATCGCAGCGGCATGGCTTTCAAGGTCGACCAGTTTTGTGATCTGGAAGGGCTTCGTATGGGAACTTAAGTAATCCGCTTTCAACTCGTTCATACGCATTCTACTAATTCCATCTTCAATTGCACGAACAACATCTAAATATGTCTTCTTGTGTTTCAGTGCAATAGCTAGTGAAGCATTCATAGACTCGCACCTTTGTGTTGAGCGAATATTGGCAAAGAAATGACCGGTTAGATATGCTTGTGCCCATAAGTGTCGTGTATTTCCCTTCTCAATCACCCATGGATGCTTTTGGACGTTGAATTCTGAAACAATCGAACGCCATTGAATATCAAATTCCTTGGTTGTCCACCAGGAAGCCATGCATTTTGAGAATGCTGCTGTAAACTTTGGGTCACCAATGTTAGCTTGTGCATTGCGAGAAAGATGCCAAGAACATAATCTGCTTAGCATAAGGGATAACAGATTTGATAGCCCTCTGCATTGCCCTATCCCCATCGGTTACAACAGAAATAGGTGATTTATTCATCATGGCTTCTAAAAAATTCTGTAGCACCCACTCGAAAGATTGAGACGTTTCGTCAGCGATTATGGCAGTGGCAAACACAATTGTGTTATGGTGATGATTGACACCAACAATAGGCATAATTGGTCGACCATACAAATTATCTTTGTACGTTGTGTCGAACGCAATTACATCACCGAAGCATGTGTAATCCGATCTCGATGTAGAATCCGACCAAATAAGATTATACAATGCCCCCGATTCGTCTACCGAGTATGTCATAAAAAACCCGGGATCATCATGTTTCTTATAATCAAAGTAGGCAATAAGCGCATTCACATCCCCATCGACGATTTCCTTTGCTTTACCTCTTTGAAGTGCATTGTAGAGGTCTTTATGTGTAAATCCAACATTATGATAGCCCCCTGCCTGCTGCGTTAAATAGTTCATTACTTGTGACGTGCCAACACCGACCTCTTTCAATGTTGTTGCCTCATCGATATCAGCCTTACTTACAGCTCGATTAGAACGCATAAATGGTGTCATAGCAGATGTGCACAATGCATGATTATGTTTCTGATCAGACTTACTTATAACCCACTGATCGTTTGTATTTGTTGCTGTAACTACGACTCTAGCCTTACATCCTGTTCTTGTGACTGGCGTATGAGCACGTTGACGATCAACAGTATTGACTTTTGATACTCGAAACCCTTCTTTGGAACAACAAAATTCTTGTGTCTTCACATTCCCTTCCACGTCAAGCCGTGTTGTTCCCTTACGTGCACTAAACCCATGTTCCCGTGCGAATCCCTTGTAAAAGTGCCAAGCTTGATCACGTGAACAGAAGAGCTGACCAACCAATCTGTCAGATTCATCAACATTATGTACTTCATGGCATTCCTCGGTTGGCTTAACATTGTCTACATCAGTATTATCCATGGCAAAAATTTTGTTGTGCAAGTTCAGTGCTCCAGGAGTTGATGGATATGTAAACGAAGGTTCATTTTGAACATGTTTCTGTAGTTAAAGGGTGGGTACAACATTAAATTCGCAGTACATATTTAGGTATGTACAATAACTACAAGTATATTATCATTTTAAATTCGCAGTACACTGTTAAAAAAATTGAAACATAAATTACATAAGTTTTAAAAAAAGTATCGATCCTTTTTATAAAAAGTATGGACACTTTCAATATAATAGGTAAACATATGATGTAATAGGTAGCCCTTATATAATGTAATAGGTATCGTTTATATAATGTAATAGGTAATGGTTATATTGTAAAGTATCTATCCTTTTTATAAAAGTGTCCATACTTTTTTCACTGTGGAAAACATTAATTTAAGGTTATCTTTTGAGTGAGTTTTAAGATATTAATTTAGTAATTATAGGCGTCTAATGATTTATTTTTTACGTTACGGTATATTTATTATTAAATTAAAAATTCTAAATAATATTTTAAAATATAAAACAATCAAATAATTTTTGTGCAAATGAAATTATTAAATCAATATTGTAGGTGGAAAACATGAAACACTGTTAAAAAATTGAAACATAAATTACATAAGTTTTAAAAAAAGTATCGATCCTTTTTATAAAAAGTATGGACACTTTCAATATATAGGTAAACATATGATGTAATAGGTAGCCCTTATATAATGTAATAGGTATCGTTTATATAATGTAATAGGTAATGGTTATATTGTAAAGTGTCTATCCTTTTTATAAAAGTGTCCATACTTTTTTCACTGTGGAAAACATTAATTTAAGGTTATCTTTTGAGTGAGTTTTAAGATATTAATTTAGTAATTATAGGCGTCTAATGATTTATTTTTTACGTTACGGTATATATTATTATTAAATTAAAAATTCTAAATAATATTTTATAAAATATAAAAACAATCAAATAATTTTTTGTGCAAATGAAATTATTAAATCAATATTGTAGGTGGAAAACATGAAACACTGTTAAAAAAATTGAAACATAAATTACATAAGTTTTAAAAAAAGTATCGATCCTTTTTATAAAAAGTATGGACACTTTCAATATAATAGGTAAACATATGATGTAATAGGTAGCCCTTATATAATGTAATAGGTATCGTTTATATAATGTAATAGGTATCTATCTCGCATGTGAGTACTTTATTCCAACCATGTGACAAGTGTGACAACTCCATCAACTCACAACTCAGCTTTGAACTCAATCAATATTGTCTTTTAGCTTGATGGTTCATAAAGCATGTTACTTGAACAGTATGAAACAATTATGCAATTTTCATGTTCAATTTAACACTGCATTTCAAATTCATTTCATATGTAATTGGAGTTTGAATTTAAATTTCAATTTGAGTTTGAATTTCAATATATATTTCGGCTCCACTATAAATATTAGCCCAAGCCAATATGCATGTTATCATTGATTATTCCTAATTTCCATTGTTTTTTTTCCAACGTATAAACGCGAGGGAAATCCCGACCATTTTATTTTTTGGTCAACTTTAAAGCGTCAGAAACGTTTCGGGCGTATGATCTGGGTGGTATACAAGAAATGTAACAAATAGCAACTAAAATCATAAGTTGAGTACCACCCAAATCATAAACAAGGAAATACTTCCGATGCTCATCAAAATCCAAAGCTCATTTGGTGCCAAGCAAAAGGAAATCAAAATCCAAATCTCATATGATGCCAAGCAATAGGTAGTGGTTATATTGTAAAGTGTCTATCCTTTTTATAAAAGTGTCCATACTTTTTTCACTGTGGAAAACATTAATTTAAGGTTATCTTTTGAGTGAGTTTTAAGATATTAATTTAGTAATTATAGGCGTCTAATGATTTATTTTTACGTTACGGTATATTATTATTAAATTAAAAATTCTAAATAATATTTTATAAAATATCAAAACAATCAAATAATTTTTTGTGCAAATGAAATTATTAAATCAATATTGTAGGTGGAAAACATGAAACACTGTTAAAGTATCGATCCTTTTTATAAAAAGTATGGACACTTTCAATATAATATAATGTAATAGGTAAATTTGCAATGCTATCGGTATAAATATACTGGTTTACTTATAAAATAGGTAAATATAAGCGCTACCTATTACATTATATAAGCGCTACCTAGTATGTTATTGTACTTTATAATATTTCCGGTTAAATAATATAACATAACCGGTCTAAATTTTAACCGGTCACTTGTTTAACCGGTCACGCCGTATATTAGCCGTTTTTTAGGCGCCGCACCGCAGAACGACCCAAAGCACACATAATCATATCAAATCAAATTAAATAAACCTCGAGGTGAGGATCCACCTCAACTCTAGCAACCCCTTTTCGATCCTCAGCAGCCTTTGCAACGTCCACCTCTCCGACCACAAGCTCACCCGCGTCGCTCACAACCTTCTCTTCTTCCTCCTCGTCCACGTAGTTAGGGTTCTTGTCGTCTATGGCTGGTGGCACCGCCGTCAGCTCGTTCTTCGCCGCCCCATTTGGTCCTTCCCACGTGTACTTTCCTCCGTGACCCGACTTCGGAGGTGGCCGGCCGATCCCTATACCGTCAGCCGGATGCCTTTCCCTCCTTTGTATCCCTTTGTCCTCCAACTTCCTCTCCAAGTACTTACGGGTGTCTAGGTTCCGAGATGTCATTTCTGCCCTTCCCGCTTTCTTGTCTACTGGTTGCATTTCTTCCCTTTTCTTATCTGAAATATATATCTTGGTTTTTCTTATGTTTCTCCCGCGATACATGAGCTTGGATTGGAGTTGAGAATTTATATAGAGAAAGCGAAAGTGCTAGAAAGTGGATATTGTTCGAATACAGACAGACATTAGAATCAGATACTAGAAAGTACTTGAAAGAAGAATCGAGACGTGGTGCTGGAAGGTTCTTGTCTGCCACGTTGTTATTCTGGGTTTTTGCCACCTGGCGTTGCAAAGTTTCAAACTTTTGGCTCCAATATCTTCGAAGTTTTTGATAACGGGCTGAGATGGAATATGCCAAAAATAATTGCAGAAAACTTTGCTTCTCACTTGGATCAAATTGTTATAAGTAAGTTTATAAATGTTGTATTATGGGCTTTGACACATAATTATTCAATACCCAAACGATGAAAATATCATATTCATTTCTCTATTTATAGTTGTAAAATTGTGATATGAACATATCATATCATATTCATTCGAATTTGACTGGACTTTTTTTTTGGTCTACCACCGAAAATAACTTAAGAACTCTGTTTTTCTCTCTATCTTAGACCGATAAATTTAACTATCTTTCAAGTTTAAGACCGTAAATTCCAATAAAAAATTATAAGGGTCACATTTGCTTGAATTTGTTTCTTTTTCTAAGAAATGTATGGCCATGGAGTTCATTGAAACTGGACGGATCGATTTCCAATGCTTAAGGAAAAGCATATGCTCTTCAAAAAATGCTCACTTGAGATTAACTTGAAACAAACCACATAATGGAATGAAGCGATCCTCCAATGGCTTTAATTTATGCATCAAATATCCTCCTTGATATCCACCAACATAAACCCAAAACTATCCTCACTTTACCTTTCCATTTTTAGCTTCGGTTCCACCGATTTCAAGTTTTTTTTGTCTCTTCCTTTGTCTTTTTCACGCTTATAACTTTTGAGAAATTAAGAAATAAGGAAACAACTATAACTTCATTTTCATTTTCAAGTTTGCTGAGTTACATTGCTTTTATAGCACATAATTGCTGAGTCAAGAAGTATTTGAAAAGTTGTTAGATCTAACAGTCTTAACCGCTTTGAGATAACAACCTAACAACCCTAGGTTTAGCTCATCTACAACACAACACACCCTAGAGAACGTGTGTCTGCTTGAGTCTGTACCATGCACGCCATGCATACACTTAGTCTTCCAACATTCTCCCTGCTTCTTCTTCTTCTCTTTGCTTCAGCAAACACACACACTTTCTCACGAAACATTGTGAAAGCTTCTTTGGACAATGGCTTTGTGAGCCTATTTTCAAGTTGATGAGCAGCAGGAACATAGCTAACACATAACTGATTCCCAGCTATTTTCTCCATCACAAAATGAACATCTAAGTCCACATGTTTGGATTGAGCATGATGAACAGGATTTGCACTCAAAGATATTGCACTGTTATTATCACACCAGATTATGGGTTTTTCCTGTCTAACCACTACAAGATCAGTTAGCAGAGCATCAATCCAAGCAACTTCTGCAGCAACATCAGCTAGATTGTGATATTCTGCTTCCATGGTAGATCTTGAAACAACCTTCTGCTTCTTTGTACTCCATGACACCATATTACCACCAACTAGCACACAATGACCTGACATCGATCTTCGATCATCCACACAGCCACCCCAATCAACATCAGCAAATGCCACCACACGTAGTGCTTCCTTAGATGGTTTAAAAAATAATACATACTCCACTGTTCCAGCTAGGTATCGCAAGATACGTTTGGCAGCCAACAAGTGACTCTCGCGTGGCTTATGCATAAATTGAGCTACCCTGCTCACACTGTACATAATGTATGGTCTCGTGTGACAGATATACATCAACGCTCCAACCATGATTCTAAATTCACGAGCATTTTCAAGCAGTTCTCTGGTATCTCGTTGGAGCTTTTTAGAGAGAATCATAGGAGTGCTAATAAGTGTAGCTTTTGACAAGCCAGTCTTCTCTAACAACTCTAAAAAAAACTTCTTCTATGACAAGACTAAAGCTTTATCACTGTGTTGAACCTCAATTCCCAAAAAATAATACAAATCACCAAGGTCCTTCAATGAAAAATTACCATGAAGTGAATAAACCACTCGTTCATTTACAATAACTGACTGGCCAGTAACAACAATGTCATCTACATAGTCAAGTATATATGTAACTTCCCCATGAATAAGAGAAACAAACAGTGATGTATCAGCCTTTGATGCACAAAACCCCATTTGCACGAGGCTATCTTTCAGCTTGGTATGCCAATTCCTGGGCGCTTGACGCAACCCATATAGAGCTTTGTGAAGCTTATATACGAGCTTGGTGCCATCCTCAACAATTTTTTCAAAACCAGGTTGTTGTTGCATGAATACTTCCTCATTCAAATCACCATGTAGGAAGGCGTTGTTAACATCCACATATAGTAGTGGCCATTTGTTTATTACAGTAAGAGATAAAACAACATTCAAGGTTGGAAACTTAACCACTGGATAAAAGTTTCTTTGAAATCTTTTCCAGGCACTTGCAGAAAACCCTTGGCAACAAGATGAGCTTTGTAAAGGTGAACTGTGCCATCGGGATTATGCTTCAGCTTGAATAACCATTTGCAATCAACTGTTTTTCTCCTAACTGGCAATGGAACTAATTACCATGTCCCATTTTGTTGCAGAGCAACTAATTCATCCTGAACAGTAGCTGCCCAATGATTAGTCTGCATAGCCTGATGAATATCAGTAGGTATAGTAGAGTCTATTTCAGCAAGAAACATCATTGGTTTGAAAATGCCATGCTTACTTCTAGTAACAATGGGATGAGTATTAACTACAAGTAACTAACCATTATCACTAATGTCTTCAAGAAGAGTGTAACGTCCCAAAATTAGGGTTAGTGACTAAAATAGAAGTTTTAAAACTTTGAGGTCTGATTTTGAAATATTGAAAAGTTTAGGGACTAAATTGAGAATATTTTATGAAGAACTATTAAGTAAATATTTAATGAATTAAGGGTATAATGGTCATTTCATAAGAAATATTTTTATTTTTCCCTTTATAAGGACATAACCACGTGGAGATGTGGGGAAAAGGAAAAGAAAAATCGGGAGAGCTTCAACTAGTTTCTTCTTCTTCTTCCTGTGAGCTCATTTAAAAGATGAGTTTCTTACAAGTTGATTATTCCTTAATTTTATGATGGGTTTTGATTTTTGGGATAGTAAGAAAACTTAAGGAAGTTTAAAGATAAGTAAAAACTCAAAGATGAACAAGTTATGAGAGATTAAGTAAAATGAGTTTTTAAGTGAATTATTGAAAAAGAAGGAGTAGATGGATTTGGAAGTTAAATTTGACTTGTCATAAGTTGAAATAAGAAATTCAAAGTGTTAGAAATGAGTTTGGAACATATTGATTTATTGGCTTGATTGTTGAATTCAAGTATGTAGATGGAATATTGGATATTAGGATGAGTTAAAGTGATCTAAGTTGGTTATAATAAGTGTAGTTAAGCTTAAAGGACTAAATGAGGTTATGGTAGAAGAATTAAGTAAGTTTGGTAAGAATTTTGGGTAAGATAAATGAATTATAGGCAGGGGGTATCGGTACTGTTCATCAAGTACCGATACTTCAAAGAGAAAATGAGTTATAATTGGTGCTTGGGTATCGATACTGGTTGAATGAGTATCGATACCATAAGTCATAAATTCATATAATTGTTCATAGAGTATCGATACCAAAGGAGCAGTATCGATACTGAGGCTAACGATACCATCTAGCAAGTATCGGTACCATTTTGAAATAAGGATGATATAATCGAATTGAGGTATCGATACCGTGGAAGGGTATCGATACTACAAACATAAGGGTATCAGTACTATGCTTGTAGTACTGATATTACTTGAGCTGGAAATTCGAGATTAGTGATGTGATTAGATTGCAATAGTAAGAACCTTTGCGAGTAATTTGAATTATGATATTTATTGGATTGTATATTCGTGTAGATAACGATCGAGAGCAAAGTCCAGACAAGTCGACCAAGTAGTAGTCATCGAGAAAGAGATAAGAGATTGGTATTGACTAGTGAGGTCAGGTGAGTGCTTACTATTAGGTATATGAAGTTTTATAGAAATAAGACTTGAGATGAGTCTATTTCCATATTAAAGTGTATGAATTCATGAATACAAGCATGTGTTTGTTATGATTTGTATGTGTTCATGAGTATATGTGTTGACATGTTATTGTATGAGTTGTGTGATCGATGTTCTACATGAGATATTTGATCATATGAGAACAAAATATAAACCATATGATAATGAATTATGAGACTATGTGAATACATGTATATGAGACAAAGTATGTAATAATATGAGAATATGATAAAAGTGAGTTAATGAGAAATGATATGAGCTAGGTAAGCATGTGTAAAGGTTATATAAATAATAGGAACATGAGTTAGGCAAGTACATGGTTGTGTAATCATTTATGTACACTAGTATAATAGAATTATATGATTAAATGAGAAGTGAAATAAACTAAATAAGAGTGACCTATAGGAAAATATGATAATAGTATATCAATTAGGAGAATTGAACATAAGTGATTATACGAACATATAAGATAAGCTATATTGGGAAAATTCATGTGCTTAATAAAATTGTGACATATGGGTTAAATTATATATATATATATAGAGAGAGAGAGAGAGAGAGAGAGAGAGAGAGAGCCATATGAGAAGGTTATAGGAACTATATGGAATTGAATAAAATAAATAGATTGAATTAGCCTATAAATGAAATAATAGAAGTAATATATGTGCATAAGTATTACATAGGTTATGTGATTTATGTGAATATAAGAGAGTGAAAGATAAACTATAGTATATGATATAAGTTATTATATACATTTATGATATATTTTATTAAACCGGACATATGTGATTATGAAAAGAAGAATATAAACTATGTGAATACAAGTATATGTAATAGATATATAACTATGAGATAGGAGAATGTTATATGATCTACACA